TTTGGCACAAATATCATGAGGATTTAAATCTAATGATTTTTTGAGACTGTCTCATGATTTTTGAACATTTAGGATTGGCAATATTGAGTCAGTCTGGAAGGCGGCAAGACTATAGCCTATACCATTCCCTTTGGAGCGTCTGTTACTTCTAGCAGCAGTAATGCTATTGTTTCCCCAGTCTTTCCTCTCAGGAAAGGACTATGATGGTGGCTATCTGGTACCAGTCACTGTCAGGTCTGGTCTATGCTTAATATTTAGATCGTCTACCTGCATCACTCAGGGCTGTGAAAAATGCCATGCCCTGTGTGACATAGTTAGGTTGATGTAACCCCCAGTGTAGTCATGGCTAGGTTGATGGAAGAATTTTTCCATCGACCTAGCTACTGCCTGTCAAAGAGGTGGATTAACTACAGCAATGGAAAACCCCCTCAGTTGATCTACGACGTCTCTACACTACAATGCTACAGTGGCACAGATGCAGCACTATAGCTGTGCCACTGTAGCAGCTGTAGTGTAGATATGTCCTCAGAGACAGGATGCTGGATTGGATGGATCTCGGAAATGATCCAGTGTGGCAATTCCTATGTTCTGATGTGTACAGTTGAGGTACTTGCATTTTCTTCCTCTACGTCCTCCACCTGTGACCTTACTGGGCTAAGCAAATGTTTCAAGCCCCCTTCAGGAAAGCATCCACATTCAGGACAGCACTTAAGCACATGCTTAATTTAAGTCAGTGGTGTTTAAGTGCTTTACTGAATTTCGCAAAAGGCGAAAGCGCAAGGGGGGTAGGGCTAATGATATAGTTAGGCAAAATTCTAAGGATGGGCAAGAAACCTTTAGAGAAAATGGGACAGAGATGATAAAAATGTGTATACCATATTCTTTGCCTATGCTTGATCTGCATTGTCTGTTTGTTATAAGCTCTTTGGGTTGGGGACCTTTAAAATGCCTCATTCACATTTGGTTTCTCAGTGTTGCCAATTGCTGCTATTTTATATTGTGACTCTTACAATATTTGGTGTTTTTCTGAAAGCCCCAGCTCCCAAAGTCACATCATTGTGTGAAAATGGCAGCTGCCACTGAAAAATGAAGAGGGTTTCTATCCCTCATTGCTATGGAGAAAAGTCTGAAAAAATGAACCCTGAAGATTCAAAAACAAGAAGACAATTAAAAAGAACCCCAAATAGATTATTTAAAAAAATCTGATTATAATTAAGCCAATCTTATGATTTTTTTAGAAAGCCTGACTCGTGATTTTTGACTGCTTTCTACTGACAATACCGGTTTCCATATAAATAATTATTATTAATATGTATTGTGACATTATAATTTGGAAGAAAAGGCATTTTATAGACAGAGTAACTGATAATATGTAGGGATAGGGAGCCAGGTGCACAGGCAACCTGCAAAATTGTCCTGCCCTTCAGCAACTGACAGAATCAACATTGTCTTGTAATATTTATATTAAATGTTTTTTTAAACAGCATGTAAATATTTCTTTAAAAATACAAAGCTGATTGTACTATTTTAAAAATCCTTAATACTTTTAAATCACATTTTAATTCTCTTCCTTTTCTCTTTCGTTCGCTCTTTCTTGAATCAGTTTTCCCTGGATTTTTTTGTTTTTTGGTTGTCAGCTTTCCCCAGTTCAGAATTGTAGCGTTTGTTCTTCAGTTTCTTGACGCAAATCCTGCTGTCGCCTAATGTGTAGTTTAAAGCAGCCCTTTGTGTGGCTGAAAGAAATTAGCTAAATAGCACTGTTTTAATTAATTTCAGGACCGCCTCTTTTTCGTCATGGAATATGTAAATGGTGGAGATCTAATGTTTCAAATTCAGCGCTCACGCAAATTTGACGAGCCTCGATCCCGCTTCTATGCTGCAGAGGTCACATCAGCACTCATGTTTCTTCACCAGCATGGCGTCATCTACAGGTACTTTTTTGATTAAGAATAAAGTATTCTTGAGACTTGAGGGTGAATTTGGCTGAAAACCTCTGTCTCTTAGCAACCAGATTTAGATTAGTTGTTTGTTCCTATTTGCTTACATAGAACTTTTTTTGGCAGTTTATCATTCAGAATGTTAACATTTGAATAGTCTCTGCAGCAATCGCCAGCTGTGTGTGCCAGTTTTGTATTATAGTACAAATAAAGCTTTTTGAAAAGCTTGGCACATTCTGACCTAGGGGTGAACTTTTTGCAGATCAGCGCAATCTCTTCACTTTCCTCTCTGTGCCATAGATTTCCTCTCGCTTTCGAACTCCCTGCCACTTCCTGAGTTTGTTTGTCCTAGTTGTCTCCAGTCTGATAGAATCAGGATAGTAGTTTGCAATGGCCTTTCTTCTTAACTGTTAGGGTGAAGTCTCAATCCCTAACAGGAAGTGGCTCTTTGCAGACAATTTGGATTTGCTTGTTACTGCCCAAAGTTCCCATCTGAACAAAAACTAAACTAAATCACTACCCTTCCAGTTTAAAACAAAACAAAACAAACCAATTTATGGACAATTTTGTTGTGCTGTGAAGAATGCATTTAAGAATAAATATTTATTATTAGAAATGAGGAACCACTTGAGAAATTTTCACCCTGTTATCCATATGTTTATTAAGTCCTTTATCTTGTCGTTTCACCCTTCCTCTCTTTTTAAATTATTTTTGGCAGCCTGTCACCACTTGCGATAAATCTTGCCTGCCTGTAGCAAGCAGCATAGCTGTAGGTTTTGGGATATGGGTCTTTTAAACCTTATTGAGATCTCTAAGTCTGTTGCGGGCCATGGATATATATTAGAGTTTCTGAAACTCCTACTCCCCCTCTCAGATTTTCAATCTGACTTATTTTAGGGGAGTGAAGGAGGGAACCTAGATTTTTTTATGTGAAAAAAGTCTAGCTGAGGACGAGTCTAGCTAAGGCCATTTAAAAAATTGATGGACTCATTTTTAAAGATGCTGCATTAGAGCTGCTTGGAAAATGGAGTCAGTAAGAGCTAGAGATGGCCAACCCTAGGACTGGTCAACATTTTTCTGTCAAAAAACTGTTTTTTGATAGAAAAATGGGCTTTTGACTTAATGAACATTTCCACAGAAAAGTGTCTACTTTCCATGGACAATTTCAACTTCTCATCAAAAAGTGGAAAGGTTTCATTTTTTGATGAAAAGTCAACATTTTCCATGGAAAGCAGACACTTTTCTGTAAAAATGTTCATTGAGTCAAAAAACAGTTTTTTGACAGAAAAATGTTGACCAGTCCTAGGGTTGGTCATCTCTAGCTGCAGTTGGATGTCTGGCTGATCCATAATACTGACAATCAGGTTGAAAGTCTTGCAAAAGTAAAATCAGTTCACCGGATCCAATTTGGACCCTTTCCAAACCCTCTTCTTCTGGGGTTTAAATGGTTCGAAGTGCTCACACCCTAAATACATATCTTACCTTTGTTGCCTGTGTAACGACTCTTCCACCCCCCTTTATTTATTTCCCAAACAACACATCAGTAGGGTTTAGGTAACCCCTCTCTGAATGTGTCAGAATTTCATAAATTGCCTTTTGGGGGGAGGGGAGGGGAAGGAGGAGTTTGGTGTCTTAACAAGTGAAGGATTTTGAGGATTAGTTCTTCTAAATAGGCTAATGTTCATTTCCCAGCACTGGTAGCTGGAATTTACACCCTGAGTAATTAGCAGTTAATTTACTGATTTCAGTGAACCAAACAAAAAGGTCACTTCTGAGACAAATTACCCGCAATGTGAAGAAAATCCAAATTGATAACATTACACAACACCTTCCTTATATTGATATGTGTAATAACCTTCCCCCTCCTCCTTCTCTCTCATATGTAGAGCCATTGTGCTTTGGCTCTGAACTACACCGGATCACTGTGTACACACTCATTCTAACGATGCCTTTTTAGCACACGCTAAATGCTGATGAGTCTCAACTTCTGACTCAGTAGCCTATACTGCCATAGCTCTGGCACACTGTAGTAAGACATGCTGTGGTATTAAAATAATTGGTGGTGTATTTGTACTAGGGCTAGTTTCAGAAGAGACAAAAGAGAAGAAAAAATGTGGGTTCTGAGATGAAAGCAAGGAAAATCCACTCAGAACACATCCCTTCCTGCTGCTTTATTTTACTACATTTTCATTTTACCTGGACATTGTTTTATTCCTAGTAACTATTAATTTCTCACCTGAAGGTCACCGAGAACCTTAACAATATATAAAATGTATATCTCCGCTACTTTAAAAAAAACAATTGATCTATAATCCATAATATCATCATAATCATTGACTTATAGAAATGTAAGGCTGGAAGAGACCTCAAGAGGTCATCTAGTCCATCCCCCACCAACCATCTCCTGCAGTGAGACAGGACCAAGTATGCCTAGACCATTCCTGACAGGTGTTTGTCTAATCCAGGGGTGGGCATACATTTTGGCCCGAGTGCCACATCTGAGTGGGGAAATCTGAGCAGGGCCATGAATGGAGGGCTGGGGCAGGAGGTTGGGGTGTGGGAGGGAGTGCGGGGTGTGGAAGGGGGTGAGGGGTGCGGAGTGTGGGAGGAGGCTCAGGGCAGGAGGTTAGAGTGCAGGAGGGGTGTGGGGTGCAACAGGGGGCTCCAGACAGGGGGTTGGGGTGCAGGAGGGGGTGCAGAGTGTGGGAGGGGGCTCAGGGCAGGGGATTGGGGTGCAGGAGGGGTACAGCAGGGGGCTCAGGGCTGGGGGTTAAGGGGCTCAGGGCAGAGGGTTGGGGTGCAGGAGGGGTTCGGGATGCAGACTCCGGCCTGACACCACTTACCTCAAGCAGCTCCGGGGTGGCAGCGGCGTGCAGCGGGGCTAAGGCAGGCTCCCTGCCTGCCCTGGCCCTGCCCTGCTCCCGGAAGTGGCCAGCATGTCCGGCAGTGGCTCCTGGGGGAACGAGGTGGGGCAGGCGGCTCTGCCACGTGCTGCCCTCACCTGCAGGTACCACCCCCGAAGCTCCCATTGGCCGCGGTTTCCTGTTCCCGGCCAATGGCAGCTGCGTGGGGCAGTGCCTGCAGGCGAGGGCAGTGCACAGAGCCCTTTGCCTTCCCCCTGTGTCCCCCCTCCAGGGGCTGCAGGGATGTGGTGCCGGCCGCTTCCGGGATCGGCGCAGGGCCAGGGCAGACAGGGAACCTGCCTTAGCCCCGCTGCACCACGGGGCTGGCAATTCCGTGGGCCGGATCGAAAGCCCTGACAGGCTGGATCCGGCCCGCGGGCCGTAGTTTGCCCTCCCCTGGTATAATCTGTTCCCCAAAACCTCCAATGACTGGGATTCCATAACCTCCCTAGGTAACCAGTTAGAAAGATTTTCCTAAAATCTAAACTAAATCTCCCTTCTAGCAAACTGAGCCAGACTTCTTGTCCTGCCCTGACTAAGCATGGAGAACAATTGATCACCATCCTCTTTATAACTAGCTTTTACATATTTGAAGACTGTTATCATGCAGCCCTCTTCTCTAGGAAATATGCCCAATTCTTTCAGCCTTTCCTAATAGGTCATGTTTTCATTTTTGCTACTCTGGACCCATATGTTTACATCTTTCTTAAAGTGCGGTGCTGAAAGCTGGACATAGTACTCCAGCAGGCCTTGCCAGTGCTGAGTAAAGTAGAACAATTACATTATGAATCTGAAATATGACACTCCTATTAATACATCACATAGTGACACTGGCCTTTTTTTCAACAGCAACACACTATTGGCTTACATAATATACTATAAGAAAAGGTCATGATTCATACATGGTGTGATAAGCCCTTGAGGAATGCTAAAATGTTTGTTAGTATTTAACATGCACCAGAATGCAGTCATCTTTCAGGGAAAAGATCCATCATCATTGTTTGAAACATTGCACTGACTCACTGGAAAGAAAAAGGCATTTGGTTCTAATTATTTCATTTGTATCTCCAAAGTGGTGGGGTAAGCTAGCAAAAGTAAAAAAAAAAAAAAAAGTACTTTTTGCCCTTGATTAACCACCAATCAAAATGCCTATCCTACCCTCAGACACTCAAATGAAGTAATACACACTTCCTGTATAGTGATAGCTCTACCAAAGACATTGTGGTATGAAATTAGTGGTTGTTCTCCAAGGTGGGAAATGATTCTTATATGGGCAGTATTTCAGGGCATGCTTGGAACATGTTTGAAGGGAGTAAGGTTTCAAATACCTGATAATGTCTTCAGGCCTCTGCTTAGCCACATATTTGGAAGTATCTGTTTGGAGCTAAACATAACTGTCTGTTTCTAAAAGCGTAACTCTTTAGTTAGTGCTCTGGCTTGGTCAGATTTTTAGAGTGTTACAAGGCTAGTTAGTGATGTTCTTCTTTAAGAGACAGTATTAGCCTCATTTCCTCCAGAGTTCAAAGGGAAAGTTAGTTTCCCATTTGAAAAAAAGGAAATTCAGCTCTAAGTTCATGCCTTTGCAATTGGCTCAACGGCAGTTTCTGGTCTTGTTTAAATTATCTGTGTAATAGAGTTATGTATCTCAATGCTGTTGCCTTATCTGATTCTGCTGCTTGTGGTGAAAACAAAGCTCACATTCTCAATTTATATAAATAGTTCCATATAAAGATGTTTTTTTAAAAAGCTGTGCTGTATGATTGAACCTCAATATGCTTTGTGATGTCCATCTAATGAGA